GGCAATTTTCGGCAACAAAAGTTTTGCGTCTTTTTTTAGTAAAATCGATACGTAACTCACATGAAAATGCTTCTATCAGGCTCAGAACTACAGAAAATGTATTTCATAAGTTCCTTAAAAAAGTAATTACAAAAATTGGCAACTCAGGACCACATTTTTTATGCAAACTATTTCTCTTTAGCAATAGAGTGTATTCCAATGGTTGAAAATATTTGTTCCAATTGTGAGTTTTGAAAATAGTGCGCTCAACTTGTTAGGCAACTCACGACACACGTTCCCTAGAGATTTGAGACAGGTTGGATAATTTTTTTTGATGAGTTGGGACTCGTGATATCTATTTTTCTCCTATGATCACTAATTTGAAGCTCATTTTTAGATCCGATGCAAGTATTTTTGATGATTATTGAAACACATTTCCTCTAAAATTCACTCTGAGGGATGATGGTGTTCAAAATTTTATTTTTCAAACTTCGAAATCATTTTGTTGACTAAAAAAATTGTGAAAATCTCTAAATTCAAAAAAATTTCAGTTGCCGAAATTGCCGAAATTTTTTTGCCGAAATCGGCAACGGCAATTCGGCAACTTGTTCTTCGTTGCCGATTTCGGCAATGGCAAACCGGCAACAAAAATTCGGAAATTTCGGCAATTTGTTGCCGCACAGGCCTGATTTACACTTCAAGTTCTTCTTTTAAATTTTCTAAAATTGTACAGATTTATCTGCATTACCTGTTTTTCAAGTGTTAAAAATTACCCAGAACGATTAATTTTTGTCTCACAAATTCTGAAACCTCGATAAACTGTTACCGTATCTCTGACTAGAGCGTTTTTTCATGGTTTTTTATTTTGCAGCGAAATTTTATCTTCCGTTTCCCATTCCCTCCTCCGGAGTTTAGCATAATCGAATCAAAGCGTATATAAAAACCCTTCTCCGAGAGGATGGTGGTATCATTTAGAAAAATGTTTTCTTTCAAACATTTTCTACTGTTGTCTTTCATATTCGGAACTGCTTCGGCTGGTTTGGTATTTTCTCGAAATCCTGATGGATCTTTCGGTTCTCCTTCATGGACAAAAGAGAATCCCAGCAATGATGGAGTACTTGAAGGAATGGATAATCCAGTCAATCATTTGGCTCAATCAGAAAATTCGAGTGGTACCAGCAGATTGGACAATCCTGTCAACCACTTTTACGAAGACGAGTACTCAAATGATAAATTGAAGACATTCATGAGAGCAATGGATAATCCAGTAAACCATTTGGTTAAGAATGAGAATTCAGGTATTGTGGTCGAAGATGGACGACGAGAATTGGTCACTGGAAATTCATTAAGTAAGTCACAAAGATTCTGAATACTGTTTTAATTATCCTTTTCCAGACGACAGGAACCCATTCAACGAGGATGGACATAAGCACCATTTCAACGGAGACGGCCACAGTCACGAGTTCAACGATGATGGACACGTTCTTCATTTTAATGGCGATGGACATCAGCATCAGTTCAACCAAGACGTGTTCGCACGCCATTTCAGTGGAAATGGATACCTTCGGAAAGTCAACAAAGACAATCACAATCACCATTTCAATAAAGACGGTCACGCTCACAAATTCAATGACAACGGCCATGTTCTCCATTTTTATGGAGATGGACACCTCCACTCGTTGCACGATGAGCGGCTGATCAATGGAAATCAAGAAGGAAACCACCAGCGTCAACTCTCTGATGCCTTTTTGGCTCCTCCACCTAAATCCATGGACCACGTTGTTAAAGCCCCACTTGACGATGATGATCTGAGCCTTGTTCAGGAAACTTTCAATGATCAAACTATCAACAAGACAGGACAACTTCGGTACTCGACACTTCCAATCGTCGAGAAAGCTCTGGTCAAAGACATCGTTCGCATCATTCTGAAAGACGAGGAATACATGATCCTACTCAACAATCCATCGTTCCCAGAAGTTGTGAATATGGTGAAAACAATGTTGAGAGAGCCAATCCAAGATGTACTGCAACAACAAATCTGGAGCAAAGTCCTTGCCATCGAAGCCTATTACAAGAAGTTCTATCAACCGTTGAATAATCCAGAGACCAAAAGAGAAGCGATGAATTTCCTCACTCACTTGAAAGAAGCGTCTGATGGACACAAATTGACTGTTGATGACACTGTGAAACTGAATGAGGAAATGCAAACTCTCGCCTATTTGGTTCAAGAGAAGGAATTCAATCAGAGAATTTCCGATTTGGAAGCGACTATCAAGGAAGAAGGTGAAACTTTCAAAGGTTAGTGTTTTCAGTAGCTATCTTTTTAAAAAGCATACTAGTTTCAGAAAAACATTACTCTCGTAAAAATGCAATGAACAATAATTCTTCTACTATTGCATCCGCTCCGGTTACTGTGAACGCTACTACCGTCAAAGTCATCACCACTACAACACCTTCAAACGCCAGCACCACTGATACTTCCGTAAGATCATCATACAACGCTTCTCTGCCGACTACTGATGCGTCCCTGATTTCTACGACTACCAACTCAACCACCACTGAATCCATCTACACAGGGACTAATGCAACGGTCACTTCCAACACATCATTCGGGTCAACTTCTGCCGTTTGGAATGTCACTACCACCGAACAAACTCCTTCCACTAACAGCTCTAAAACGGACAGCTCTTCAATTCGTCGGAACTTTGCCGAGAGCTTCAATCCGTACGTTGGAGGTCCGAACTCGGTGGGAGACTCTTGGAATCCAGAAGGAACCGATGAAGACAATGATTATTGAATTTTTCTTTCTGAAGAATGAACTTTTTTGAGCATTATTCGTTTTTTTCTATTTATATTTTTTACTCTAGATTATTCGGACGGTACATACATGTTGGGGTACAAAATCTTCAATTCGAAGGTAGACAATAACTTGAAAAATTCAAATTTTATACCACCGAACCGTGGACTCCTAAACAACTTTGTTCATCCTTGTAGCCTTGAATTGTTGTACCCTTCGAATTATGTGCCCAATCATGAAAAGTGTTTGAAAAATATGATTCCCGAATTTTCCTTTTTTGTGGTATTCTGGCTTTCACGGACTACATATGGTTAGTTGGCTCTAGTTGGTTATTTTAGATTTAAAAAAAATTGGATTTTAATAAAATATTCGATTTAAGATTTTTTTGGATTTTGAAGAAATTTTTGGATCTTGAAAAACAATAAAATCCAAAAATTTCGTGCGACGAAACTTTCATCATAAATTGTAGCCAGTGTTCCTCCTGGCTGTACTTCGCTGTAATCAGCGTTTTAACAACTGATTTGTCGTCGTTTTCAGACATTTTCATAGTTTTCGAATAAATTTGGATTTTGAAGATAGTGGGAAAATATCGAGACTAGAGACAAGCTTAAGAGGGTTTTAAACGTTAATGTTTATGGCTCTCATCTTGTCGGGACCCTAGGAACAAAGGGTACATTTTTAAAAAAGGGTACGTTGAGGGTACTCTGAGTTCTTAGTGTACATAGGTTTAGAACGTAAACGGGATTTTCGGTGTAGGTCGTTTTAAGCCTATGATTTAGAGCAAAAACTAAATACTCAGTATTAAAATTTTTTACCCCTCCCGCATGTATCACAAAATCCCATGTATGTTAGGAATTGATGTACTCTAAGAACGTATATCTAAGAATGTATTATTTCCCGATGTACTCTTGGATACTAGGCAGTTGAAATATGGAATATACATCCAAATGTTTTAAAGTTAACAGGAATTTTTTAGAATAATTTGTTTGTTGTTTGAAATTAAAGGCTTAGACTGAAAAGCTTTGTTATCTCTGTACTGAGAAATTCCAAAATGACACCAAATTCAAAAAAGTTGGCTGCTAAAAAAACTATACCTCACTTAGCACCCAAAGCAAATTTATTCTCAAGCAAAAAAATAACAATCAATCTTTGGCGTGCCAACGTCTGACGGTACGCCCAACGTAGTAAGGCGATTTTATACAAAAAATAGAATAATTGAAAAGCAGGAGGTATTTTCATGAATTTCATCTACAGTGTCGGCCCGAAATATATGAAAAACCGTGCTTTTCAGATGATTTTGACCATTTTCAGGAGTCTGGAGCTCGGCTGTCACGTTTCCGATCACTTTGAAAATTTTGGGGAGTATCAAACAGGGATGGATTGAAAATTTAGCATTCCTAGAATGTTTTGAAATTTTCAAGTTTTTCAGCTATTTACCGATTTACGGAAGACACCCTTTTTTCCTAGATCTGCATTACACACACTAAGTTTTTCAAAGAGATCCGACACTTGACAACCGAGCTCTAGGCTCCGGAAAATGGTCAAAATCAATGGAAATGCACTTTTTTTAGGCCGGCACTGTACGTATTGCCTCACTAGGTTAGGTGATTATCGGTTACTAAAAATTAATTTGAAAATTATTTCACACAACAATCTTTTTGCTGCAGCCATTAATGTGTGTTGTATGCTTTGAACATCAGGCTCAGTCGGATCTGCCATGGAAACTCAGCCAGAACTCTTTTTAGTATTTTTTTTTCATTTTTTCACCTTGTCGCTTCTCCTCAATTTCTCTTTCTTTCTCGTTTCCTGTCATTTTTTCCTCGAGAGTGGAAGAGGATGACAACCGAATCCGTTTCAATTTGATTTATGGAAATTCTACGTGGCAGATGCAAGCGTCTCTCTTCTCTCCTTCGTTTCCTGTCTCAACGACGCCGACGTCGACAAAACGACGTCCCATAGAGGCGTTGTTGAAAAATGGGCTAGATTCGTCTTGAGCCTCTTCATATAGGTTAGACGCTTTTTTTCCATTTGTGTGCGGTTGGCTTAAGGCTTTATAACCACGAATTTCGTATCTCATTTTATGCGTTCGTCCTTTTTTTTATTGATGCACAGAGACATACACTCAGTGTGATTGAAGTTTGCGCACTCCGCTGAAAAGTTCAAATTCTCCTTCTTCTTTGTTCAACTTTTGTCCTCTTACTCATACAGGACGAATTCCACAACCAGAGGAAGGATACCTGAGAAAAGTAAACAAATTGCATTTTTCGTTCTATCTGTCGTTGACGTTTAGGAGGAAGAGAAATTTGAATATATGGTTGGCAATGATTTGAGAATCACATTTTTCTTTTCATATTGATTTAATTCACACAGTTGAATTAGCTAATCATTGATACCAGTCAACTAATTTCTTCTACAGCTCTCCTTTTTCAAATTTTATCACCTAATTTCGAAATTTGCGCTCTACCAGTTCAATTGTTTACTCACCTGACCTCTCTCCAGTTTCTAGCAAATATCAATTACAAATTGCCACTGGGTTTTCTTTTTCTCCTTATCAGTCCATGATTGGAAGTGAAGAGAACAAAAAAACCTTTCTACCCGTTTCACCAGTTTTCCTTGATTCTGCCTTTTCCTCTGCTGCTGCTGATTGACTTTCCTTTGGGTGTACTTATTTTTATGAGACCTCTGCCAAAGTACCTCCCGTATTATTGGGAGAAAGGTAATAAGGTTTCCTTTCCTTTACGATTGCAATCAAAAATTCCTTTTCTTGCTTCTCTGACCCTTTACCTCAATTTTTTTTCGTCAGTCAGGTTGAACAATTTTTTGTCTTCGAAATTGGATTATTCAAATATAAAATTTTCGAAAAACCGTGTTTTGGTTTCACGCATTCACAAAATTTTTGGTTTTCATGAGTTTTTAGAATTTCGTTTTTAGAATTTCTCTCAAAAAAATTTGGATTTTGCGACTTTTTTGGAAGTTCAAATTTTCTAAAGTTCTGGTTTTTCGAAGGACCTGTGGTTTTTAGAATTCACCAAACTTGAAAAAAAGCTTTTAATAACAATAGTTTAAAAAATTAAGCATTTTCAGAAATTTTGTTTTTGAGAATTCGGACTATACGAAATTTTCGATTTTCGGAGATTTGGAATATTTCAAAATTCCGGGTTGCCAAAAATTTTGACTTTTCAGGAAATCCAATACGAAATCCCGATTTTCGAAAACCCGAATAATTTCGAAAATCCGAGTTTTGATAATTTGGAATATTCAGAAATTTTGAAACTCTGTTTATCGAAAATTCGGAATATCAAAAGACTTGAAAATACTAATTTTTGAAAATTCACACAGTTTGAACATTCAAAAGAGCTATTTTGGAATATATTCGGGATGTTCCGAAATTTCGAAATGCAAATTTTAAAAAAATTAAAAAATCCGAAACATTTTTAAATTCAAAAATTATGATTTTTGAAAATTCAGAATTTTTCCAATATTCGAATGCTCTTTTCTCGATAACTCAAAACATTCTAAATTTCCGAAACTAGTTTTCGGAGATTTGAAATGTTCGGAATATTCCAATTTTTCGGAAATCGGATTTTCAAAAACTCGCAACATTTCGAAATTCCGAAATCACGAAATTTGAAAATCTGAATACTTTCCAAGTTTCGATTTATGAAATTCAAAAGTATTAAAACTTTCGATTACTCTAAAATTTTTCAAATTCCGAAAATTCCGAGTTTCGAAAATCGGAAATCCTCAAAAACTTCGAAATGATTCCAAAATCTAAAAAGTTTCGTTCAACACATTCCGGATAAACACTTGCCGGCTGATTCAGTTGAAAAATAACTTTGCTGAAATTTTCATCTGGTCTAGATATTTCATTGCACCTTTCCTCTTTTCACATAATATTTCTAAGTTCCTCAGAATGGCTCACAATCTTGATGTTCGAATGCTATCAAATGGTCATCCGATTGTGTATGTGCCAAACGTTCCACCGTTTCCACCTCCAATGAACCAAATGCCCCCACAAGTCCCAGTTATTGCACCGACTCCACCAATTCAACAATTCCCACCACCAGCACCTCTGTCTCCCCGCTCTCAATTGGCACAACTACAGCAACTACAGATCCAACAACAACATATGGATCCTCTTCTCAATCCTTCAGCTCTTCGATTGCCACCACCAACAATCGGGATCAACCCGTACGTGGACATTCTTTCAGGACAACTACCACTTCTGCCACAAATAATGAATCCATTCATGTTCCCGATGAATCTACCTTTCGTTCCAATTCCTCCATTTCCACCCCCATTGATGTCTCTTCACATCACCAAGCCACCAACGATTAGAGCACATCCATACGAGGCAGGTCGGGATAGAGCGGACAATGTAAGAATTGGCTTTTCAATGTGAATAAAAGGAAACATATATATTTTTACAGGCTCACAGAAGACCAAGAAATCGTAACAACAGCCATAATAAAAACGATTTCATCCGTTTTGTTCCTCAACGAGAGCCTGTCATCCAAATTGACAATAATGGGTAATTTTGAAAAGTTTTTCTCAAAAATAAAATTTCTTGTGAGGCTATGGCTATTTTTGGAAAACGTCATTGTTCATACTTCTCACATGATGGGTCAAATGATCCGTCCCAGACAGCTTGGCTCCAAAACTGAAATAAAATACTAAAATTTGTGAATTTTTTGATTCTCTGAGAAGGACGCGGAAGAACTTGACAGCTTGACTTTGACCGGCAAGGTCGGTCCTTGGACCAAATTAAAATTTTAAAAATGATCTTTCATGTAACCTACTCAAAAATAATCTTGCCTGAGATGCATTTTTTTATTTTCAGAGTTCCAAGAGACGTCAAGCAAGAAGTCCATCCACATCAAGTTGACAGATCGGAAAACGAGGGATTGGCTCGTAACAGAAACTAAATCATTTTCCACATTTCCATTCGTTTCATGATCTTTTGTCAGAAGAATCTCGAAAAACCAAAGCATGTTTCAAAGTAATTTTTGTAACACCATTCCTCACTTCAATTACTTTTGATTAATTATTGGTAGAAACCTCTTCATTTTGTAATGATTCTAATAAAAATATTAATAAAATAATAATGAGTTCTTAAGACGACTAAATGTTTAAACAGTCTCACCAGGAGAAGGTTTCGACTTCCTAAAACATCTCCCTAGTTTCCAGTCTACTGCAGTTAATATCAGATCAAATTCGTTGCTTAAAATAATTACAAATAAGAAAACACAAATAGCAACGATAATTACTGTTTTGTCAGAGAACCATGTAACTGCTCGCGCTGTGTTAATAGCCGCCTCTTGTGGACTTGAAACGGTTTCTCCTTTCAATTTGAATAATGAAAATTCAGTCTCATTTCTGAAAGAAATAATTAACTATGAGTAATTCAGATACAAAAACTCACAGCTGAATCGATATATTTAGATGTAGGTCAAATACAACTGGAATTTCAGTGGGCTCCACATCAACTGCTAGTATAATTCGAAAGCACAGAAAAAGAAGGAAAAAAATCATACAAGGAAACAGTGACAAGACATCACAACAAAAACCTTCCCACTTTTTTTGAGATGGAAGAGACAAAAAAGTGAATCACCAACATATTGGACATTGTTCGAAAAAAGTGTTGTGCAGGTACCACAATTGGAAGGAAACAATTGGAAGATTCGAATTGAAAACAGAAATTAGTTTTTTTGGAAAAAAATATTATATCTTCCAAAACATTTAGAGAAAATTTTTCCAAAAATGAAAAGAATGTCTTCAAACCGTCCACTTTAAGCCCATATACAGTGCGCGTCATAATGATAGCACCACCCCATTTTTCGTGGTTTTCAGAAAAACTAAAAACTTTGGAGAAAAACGGCTAATGCCATTAGATTCAGCACCCCAAAAAACCTATGTGTCCCCTGAATCAAGTACCAGTCAAGTTTATTAGGACTGCAGTAACCAAAAGTCTCTCTGCACACCGCGTCATAATGATAGCACCACCCTGGAAAACGGAAAGTCTCATGTTTTTTTGAGAAATAAATTGCGATATTTTTGTTGGAATTTGTTAAAATAGTCTTAAAACAGTCTGGACAAAAAATAAAAAAATACTCTTTCCAAGTTTTAGAAAAATTTATTTTCAAACATTTTCGAACTTTTTTGGGTTTCTGGAATAAATCTTGAATGACTTTGCTTTTAGGTAAAATTTTGAGCTGAAATTCATAGGAAATATCTTGAAAATGCTCGTAGTCACGTTGCAACTGTTCATGACATTCATGAGCTCTGGTAGCTCATAATTGAGCTCGAGCTTTGAACTGAAAAATTATGCCAAAATGAAATTTTTCAAAGAAGTGTAAAACGTTCAAAAGATGTTGCCAGTAACCAAAATCGCTTTTGAAATTATAATTTCGTACAGAAAAACAACTTTTTCTTGACAAATTCAGTTTTTTAAAAAAAATCAGTATCCCCGAAATTCGAGGTTCGTTTTCGAATTTTCGGTTTTCCTCAAATTACAAACGACGACTCAGAATAGCATGAAAACAACTAGTAGACACTTCAGAACACTGAAAAAATATTTCCTATGAAATTCAGCTCAAAATGTTACCTAGGAGCAAAGTTACTCAAGATTTATTCCAGAAACCCAAAAAAGTTCGAAAATGTCTGAAAATAAATTTTTCTAAAACTTGGATAGAGACATCAATTTTTGTCCAGACTGTCAAAACAGACTGTTTTAAGACTATTTTAACAAATTCCAACAAAAATATCGCAATTTATTTCTCAAAAAAACATGAGACTTTCCGTTTTCCAGGGTGGTGCTATCATTATGACGCGGTGTGCAGAGAGACTTTTGGTTACTGCAGTCCTAATAAACTTGACTGGTACTTGATTCAGGGGACACATAGGTTTTTTGGGGTGATGAATCTAATGGCATTAGCCGTTTTTCTCAAAAATTTTTAGTTTTTGTGAAAACCTCAAAAAATGGGGTGGTGCTATCATTATGACGCGCACTGTATCTCCTTTCCTCTAGAATATATCAAAAAGGAGTCAGTTGAAAAAATGTCTATCATAGTATCAAAAATATTTTGTCAGCTGACCACTTTTCGATATCTTTCACAAGAATCGAGTCAACTTGGCTCAAACAGAATTTTGAGGGAAAAGTCACTAGTAAAGTGTTTAAAGCATGTAGAATTATCAAAAAGACTACAAGTCAGAAGTATAGTAAATTTAATTTTAAAAATCTTCTGAGAAAAATACCGAAATCGGAACCCATTCAAAAGACTGGCAGTTTTTTTCCGTCTTTCTGTAAATGTATACTGAACAAAATCCAGAATTTGATTTTTACAGTAGACTAATTATTATTTTTTTTCTTGTATTATTTTTTTCGGTTACTATTAAAATAAGTTTTCCGAAAATTTAGTCAGTTCATATGAATTCAAGCTATTTTTAATATGTCAAACACCACAATATCATGATCCGAATCTTGGTTTTTTTTTTTCATTTCTGTTGCGTTGATGTCCCAACACCAACCATAAACGTAGATTGTGATGTCATATTTCAGAAATCTGCTCAGAGACGAAGGATGTTTGAAGACGATTTCAATCTTGTTTGAATCGCCTATGTTTTTCTTTTGAGTTGGCATAAAAGACAAGAGAGAGATTGGGGATATCCGGCTTCGAGCATCAGCAAAATGAAGGATAGCATATTTTTTTTACTACTACTGTCGTCGACTGTTCTAGCACAAACAGGATTTCCATTACCTGGGGCAGGAGTATCCAGTTCAACACCTACAGGTAGAATCTTCGTCAGGATAAATGTTTTGTACTATTTTCTAGAAACCTCTGAAAAATCGGTAGCGTCTTCTTTGCCACACCCTACTGTACTTGCCCAAAAAGGATCAACTGATCAAACACCTGGGCAGATCATGGATGGAAGCTTATCAATTTCACCGAATATTATTTCGACGGCTTCATCAAATGGGAAATCTTCAGAGGCACCAGCTGGAACAACTGTTTCCACTGAACCAACTCCCGAAAACTCAGCGGTTATAACTGATTCTTCTGTTGAACCATCTCATGAAACTTCTACTCAAGGATTGATCAAAATCACGTCTTCTCCAGTGGACGTCCCTGATTCAAATATATCTACACAATCACCATCTGAGAGCACAGCTTCATCAAATGGTGCAATTGAAGAAACTTCAAACACCGTGAAATCTAATGTAGCAGAAAATACAACAAATGGAACATCTGGAACCTTTTCAGATGATACCAAAAAGTCATCAGTTAGAACGTCAGCACTTCCAGTAGAGTCGTCAGATGGGACTTCAACCCCATCATCCGTCGAAACGGATACAGTCAATTCCAATATAGGATCTGATTCATCGGATACAGCAAGAAGTTCATCTGTTGGTCCATCTGTATCTGCTGATGATGCATCATCATTCACAAATTCTGGTTCCACAAGTTCTTCATTCAATGGAGTATCAAAAGTGGTTTTCGAAGGTATCATCGGAGAAACCCCGTCAACATCAGAATCTTCAACTGGTGGAAGTGGGGACAGTAATGCAACGACACCTTCTAGCAACGACTCCGAATTACACCATGAGACAACAGCATTTTCATTTGAACACTGGCTAAGGCAGATTAACCGTTCTGAAGATTCTACTGACCATCCAATTGCTGACACTACAAATGAAACAACTTCAAATTCAGTGCAAACCGAAAAAGCAACCACTACAAAATGCGTGGATGGGGGTGAGTTCTGCTGAGTTTTAACTAATATTTGTAAAATTGTATCATCTCTCAGAGGGCGATGACTGTTTCGACGAAGAAGAAACTGAAGAATATGATGATGATGATGATTCCGAGTACGATTACGAAGGTCCGAGTAAGCCCCGAGAAGGTATTTTTCACAGTTCCTTGAAAAGTAAAATTAATTTTTTTAAACAGATTTCCCAGATTTCCCGAGAAGCAGCGATTCAGATGAGGAAAGTACCACAGTAACGCAGAAAACTGAAGTAGAACCGACCCAAGTGTACTACGTTGAAGCACAAGAATCTGGTTGAATTATTATCAATATCTTTCCTTTATATGTATATTTCTCCAGAACCAACAAAGACACCAAAAAGCGAAAAACTCGAGTCAACCACACGGAAAAGGCGTTTGGGGAATTGGGTATATGGATTTGAGGATAAAAATGATGAGGATGATAATAATATTGCGAAATTCGCTCATCAAGAAGAGCACCTTTATCAGCCAAAATATGCAGCTCACCATGGTTCAGAAGATGTTTCAGTCGAACCATATGGAAAACATGAGCACAAATACATGGACTTTTCGAATGGATTTGCTAATAAGCGTTTTACGGCGATTTCTATTATTTCTGCAATGTTCGTTTTCTTCCTTTAATCTTTTGGTGTTTAAAGCTGCTGAAATTTTCAATAAATGTAGTATTGGTTTGATTGAATATGAAAATAGAGAAAAAACAACTCTCACGTCAGAAAAAAAAAACATTAATAATTTTCGAAAGTTTTTCATGATGAAAAATTACGAGCCAGGATGTTGAGCCGGTACGCCCGGCATGTTTGTACAGAAACGTTTGAAAAAAGATTTGTCTCCTCTGTAGTTTATCTTTCTTTTTTCTTCAAACTTTTTTTTGTTTTCTAATTGAAAAAAAAAAACATTTTTAATTTCAAAAAATTGGTATTGGGAAAGACGGACCCTGTTTTATAGTGATAGCAGCTAAAATAGATTCAAATTTGTGATAAAATTTATTTGAATAGACGCGTTCCTCAGAAATGGAAACCCCATCAATTATTTGACTGAAAATATATATTACAAAGAATCCAAGTTTCAATTATCTTTTCATTTCTTTGAAAAAACATGACAACACTCTTGATTGTGAACCTGAGTTCAAGCATTTTTCTCTAAAAATGTCAAAATTTTGTTAACCCAGAACTGTGCTTCATCAAATTGCCTGTATGTGTTTTCTAAGTTTCATTGATAATTTTATTTTGTTTCCAGCTCTCAAAATAATGGGGGTACGACGAATTCGAACGCTTCCAAAATCGAACAGACCTAAAATCGAACATGTGTCAAAACAGAACAAGAGCAGAATCGAACTGCGCGAAATTCGAACTGTGTCGGAGTCGAACTGTCCCTAATTGGAACGCTGTTAGCCATGGGGCGCGCTTGCATTTTTCCTTAAATTAGTGACTTTTTTCTTGAGAAAACTTAAAAAATATATACGAATCAGTTTTATTGGAAACAAAAACAACAAAAATATTTTTTAAAGGAAAAAATAAAAAATTTGCGGNGAAAAAATGAGAAAACANAAATAATGCAAGCGCGCCCCATGGCTAACAGCGTTCCAATTAGGGACAGTTCGACTCCGACACAGTCTTTCAAGATCTATTGCTTATCCAGATGTGACTCCAACTACGGATTGTATCCGCGAAATGCGAATCGCAGACGAATGCTTGAAATTTATCCCGGTTAGTGTGAAAACTTCGAAATTTATTAATAACTTATTTTAAGTATCCGGATTTTATGTTCAAACAGCGGACTAATTACCCACGTGATTCGAGGCTTCTTATATCAGAAATGGAACAAGTGCAAATCTATCAGCGGAACGTTTCGCACAGTGAATGCTTAAAACATACTGCCTGCGAGAATGTGGTATTTGTCAAAGAATTATACGAACAATTGGAACCTATCATTGATGATCTTGTTGATATTCAAAAGAACTGTTTGTATCCAGTGAGAATTTTTGAAAGTGTTCAAACTTAATGATTATTAACTTACAGAATTCCCGTGAAATAGAAAGAAGCAAATTCCGTTGTCCCCTCGCTTCCTGGGAGTCCGCAACGAACTATCTCCTAATGTGTGTTCCAAAACTTGTGAGAGAGTGCGGATGTAGCAGACAGGAAAAAGAATTGCTCACTGAACTAGCCGAGAGAAGCATGCCTATCGCTAGACTTTTCACGCGGAATTTTGATTCGGTCTATCAGGATCTTGTATTTGAAAGAGGAACATTTGATCGACAATACTATGATCCTTCTTCTGGAAAGATGAATGGTTGGAACTTCATGTGGATGGTTGCAATAATTATCGTTTCCTTCTAACTCTGAATTCAATTTTTTTGGTGTATTCAAATACTTCAGTTCCTTTATAATTTTTCAATGTTTCCTATAAATTAATCAGCAATAAAATTTGGTATATTTTGCCACGACTCTATGTGTATTTATTGAATCGACAGAATGGCAAATGCCACTAACACAATCTCTCAAAAAATATTTTTTTGAAATAAAATATATCTCTTTCGGAATAGGCCAACATTTGAAGTTTTCAACCCTAGAGTTTTGAAATTTATAAAAAGGTTTATTTATCCTTAAAATTTTTTAAACAGAAAAAAAGTGAGCGGAGCGGTCTTGAAGCGGTAGTAAGCCAGAAAAAATTGAAATCTAATTTTTTTTTCAAATTTCTGCTATCCGAGGAGCCTGAACAATTTGGCTCTTTATGATTTAACGGGGGTTTAAACAATTAACGGGGTTTTAAAATATTAACGAGGGTTTAAATTTTTGACGGAGGTTTAAAAAATTAACGGGGGTTTTGAATATTTAAAGGGGTTTTGGGAATTAACGGGGGTTTAAATATTAAACGGGGGTTTTCAGAAGGTGTCGGAGTCATGGTTGGGAAAGTCCCCAAAATGTTCCAAAGTTTCTTGTTTTTTGCTCATTTCAGTTGATCTATTCTTTTCTGAAATAATTTTTTTGTTTTTTCTTTTTTCATTTATAAAGTTTTATGGCACTGTTCTAGAATTGCGGAAGGAATGAAAATCACATTAAAAAATGGGTAGAAAAATTTTGACACTAGAAAACATTCGTAGATTATAGGCTTAGGCTGAAACGTCATATTTCCTTCATCTAAGTCATCGGAAAATTGGCGGCAAGTTACATAACTCTGCTAGTTCTAACCTCGAATCCAAAATACAAATGTACCGCTTTCCCGGATCACTTGACTCGCCAACACCATTCAACCTCTCTAAGAGCAACTATTTGATCGCCCTTTCCTTTCTAAGCCTCCTTTACCTGCTTCCAAGGTTAGATGATAGACTTGGATAAAGGTTTTTTTTCGTTCCGTAATTCAGTGCCATGAAACTTTAGATATGAAAAAAGAACAAAACAAGAAAATGATTTCAGAAAAGAATAATCAACTGAAATGAGCAAAAAACAAGAAACTGTAGCACTTTGGAACATTTTGGGGACTTCCCCAAACATCGTCCTGACACTTTTTGAAAACCCCCGTCTAATATTTAAACCCCCGTTAATTCTCAAAACCCCTTAAAATTTTCAAAACCCCCGTTAATTTTTCAAATTTTTTTAAAACCCCCGTCAAAAATTTAAACCCCCGTTAATTGTTTAAACTCCCGTTAAATCATAAAGAGCCAACAATTTGGTTTATATCTGCAAACTTTTTCTTCGCTTGTTGAACAAAAAATAAACCAAACACCATGGCTAAATCGGGAAAACGCTATATATTTTTTATCATTCGTCATTTCTATACTGATGTTTTGAGACTGTCCCTTATAAGAAATAGATCCTTATAAGAATAAAAGAGACGACGGGCTCACTATGTTCCATCACAGGACAGCAACATGAAGTACCTCTTTTTCCTAGCCTTATTCACTACGATTTCACCATGTGTTAGTTCTGAAGACCCGGATGACCTACTCCAATTTATCATTGATAGTTACGCTAAACCATGTGAAGCAGAATTGAATGCAGTGAAAACTTGTTTACATTCAACAGCGGTGAGTTTTAATTCTAATTACTCTTCAAAGACTCCTTTTCCAGAGTAACCTAAACATATCAGAAGGTTAAAACATGTTTCTGGACAAGGAACTTATGATCTCTGTTATTGAAGAATTCGAAAACTCAACGTGTTTCGGTCCGTCAGAATGTGCCAATCTTAAAGTTGCGAAATATGTCTATGATGCTGTGATGTATATTGGATTTAAAGTTTATCAACAAGGGTTTGGATGTATCGAAAATACAGTAAGCCTAATTTTTCAATTTGAACATTATCAATAAGCGTTCGTAGAGTTTGGAGACATATCAGGATATTGGCCAACATTGTGTCAATCTTATTTTGGTCAGCGGTCAAATCAAAGAAAGATCCATTGACTCTTTCATCGATATGCTAAAACCAATGGTTCAATGTATGGTACCCAGACTTGTTTGCACTGATACGCAGAAGAGTGCTTTGTTTGCTGCATCATACAGAGCAATAGACTTGGTAGACGGTTTCATTCACCCAGAAAAAATTCGAAACACTCTCCAATTGAGTGAGTCGGATATTAGTAACGAAGAGATTGCATCCGCTCTCAATATTTTCCCTTAAAGCGTTTTTGTGTGGCTATAATATATATATATATTATTTCAAAAAGGTGTTCTCTGATTATTATTTGAAAAATTTTGCAATTATTCAAAAATAAAGAGAAAGAAATAGAGCATTGCTTGCCAGCAAATGTGTTAATGACAAGGAAGAGACGGTGGGTTTTGAAACTTTGCTGAAATGAAATTTCGGGGGAATTATAATCGAAAAACTGAATAGTGACAAGAAGAAACAGAAAGAAGTGATCAGAAGTTAACAAAATTAGTAATAAGTTAGAATAAAGTGTGAAATATACAGTACCGGTCAATAAGATATACAAAAACGAGTTTTAGCTTCTTTTTTTGCCATCTTCAGGAGTCTTAAGCTCAAGTTTCCGATCAGTTTGATATTTTTACAGGGCTTAAAACTGACCATGATTGAAAACTTGGAATGTATTTACAGAATGTTTGTGGAAACCCCTAGTTTTCAGTTATTTGCCGATATCTGACAACATATGCTTTTTTCACGTTTTCAGTACAAAAACCGGTAAAAAGGGTCCTTCAGAAATTGGCTTGAAGCTGAAAAACTAGGAATTTTCGAAAAAATCTGAAGAGGCAAAGGTTTCTAGGTCTCGGACTCTCTAGATCTCTAAGTCTGTTTTACACCTTCCACAATTTTCAAAGTTATCAGACACTAGAGAAGCGAGCTCCGGGCTCCTGAAAATCGTTAACATGATCTGAAATCAACAGAAAACTATGTTTTCGTACATACTGTTGACTGGTACTGTAGATTACAAAAAAGAATTGAGCACTGCATTCTCAATAATTTACAAGAATTGACGATAGCGGATGACGACAATGACTGGAATAATAGCACAGCTGACGAGATGTGTTAACTGGGTTGGCCTCTCTTCCTTCTTCATTTTATGATGTTTTGGAACACCAATTGCCAAAACCATTTCGGTCACATCGTTTCCTGGATGTTGCTTCATTTCCTCATGTACTCTTTTCCAGTGGAATGCGAGGGTTCCGTTTCCGGGTTGCCAAGATCTCATGGCATAATTGACCCTGGAATGAATCATATTTGATCATGTATCTCATTTAGATCGAACTCACATATCCTTACTGTCTTGCTCACATTGTGTGGTGGCCATCAAGCGGATGAGTTTAGTCTCCTCCCATCCAAGCTCATGCACTTTATGTCCTTTGTGTCCTTCAAGCTGAAGATATTCCAATCCACATTTCTCAAAAGCGAGTGTGTAATCGGTAGTGTAATTGACTTCAAAATTTAGACGAGTACGAGAATTGAGGAATGCTGTAAAAAACTAGATATTAGGTCAAATTGAGATTAGAATCTTCTCACCAGCTTCGACGAGAACTCCAATTTCTGCAGAAGCTATTGATGGTGTCTCTCCTCCAATTGTATTATACTCGAGCACTCCATTGGGGCTGTATGATTTAGTAAAGTCCAGTTTTGGAGTACGAATCTCGGCGAGAGAGAATGACAAGTTACCACTACATTCACCATCGCAGTTGAAAACCAAATCAACTCTGAATTTGTAGATTGAAAATCAACTTTCTTTTTTCATGACTTACTTGTATTCTGATGCCACATCACACGTTTTAGCAATTCCAGTCAGCATTGCGGACACCCAATCTTTATCAAAGAAAATCGTGGCGTTTTTTGTGTCCCTGGATGTTTGGAATATACGTCTTCCACATTTGTCAGCAGCCAAAGCAACTTCTTCTGATGATTCGAGCTCCATCTTGATTGCCATGTGCTTGTCGTAAATTACTGAAAATTAGTTTTGCAGAGTTTTTCTTACTGTACCGGTCAAACATATATTCAAAAAATGCAATTTACAGTTGATTTATGGCATTCTCTGGAGTCTGAAACTTGGCTGTCAAGTGTCCGATCACTTTGAAAATTTTGAAGGGTGCGAAAGAGATTTAGATTGAAAATTTTGATTTTTTCATAATTTTTGAGAGTTCCTAGTTTTTCAGCTATTTACCAATGCCTGGAAAACACTCTTTTTTTGGCCCTTTTAGTACTGAAAGATGAGAAAACATATAATTTTCAAAAATCGGTGAATAGCTGAAACACTAGGATTTTTTTGAAATTTTAGGAAGTTTTTAATCTAGGTCTGTTCTATAACCCTCGATATTTTCTAAGTGATCGGAAAGTTATCAGCCGAGCTCCAGACTCCTGAAAATTGTGAAAATTGCTGAAAATCAACTGAAAAATATGTCTTATTGCATGTCTTATTGACCGGTACTATAAATCGCTTTACCCGTGTGGCAATGGAACTCTAAAAAAACACTCTCGTTGGTCGATCCTCCATTTTCAGTTTTGAATGGGACAGTTACAGTATGAAATGGCTCTGGCACGTAGGCTCCATAAAACAGCAGAAGGCTTGCTAGAAGCAAAAAGGGGAGACGAATCATCTGAAATGAATAATTTTTAGACAAATAAAACTGAGAAGCAAAGAAGAATGAGTACTCGGCGAATTTTTTGAGAAGTCACTGGGGTAAAAAATAGAACTAAAAAAGACAATAGGAGGCGATAACAATCCGCACTGGTGATTACTTGGGAAGCAAAAGAGAAGAAAAGAAAAATAGACAACCGCGAGAAATGATTTATCTTTATGTATCTAAAGATACATTGTAATTCTGGAAAGATACTTTGTAATTCTGGAGTCCGAAGGAAATGAGAAAAAAGAGCGTGACTCTAGATAAGAAGATTTATTTCCTTTAGGAAGATAATTAGAAAAAGCTCACACTGGGAGAGTGGTCTGCAGAAAACCACATGAGCTCCAATCGGATGAAAAAATGGAAAATGTGGGACGTTAGAGGGGTATCAGGTTTAAGAATTTTATATGAAATTCAACGTTCAGTGTATATTATAAATCGTACTAAACTGAAAATCATAAACAGTTTATAATTCGGATCATGTGACACTTTTATACAATTGGTAGCTATTTTCTACTAATGTGTTTTGGTGAGATGAGCAAAAGGTCAAAAGACGAGAACCTGATTATCGAACTTTCAACTTTTTGGGTTAAAGGAGGCCAGATATGAAAATTTTCAAAACACTAGTTTTCTGATATATGACACAGTACAATCGGAAAATAACAATGGACACCAAACCATTACTCCCTGTTACTGTACAAGCGAGAACGCGACCGTTTTTCCAAGCGGCGCCGACTCGTCGTTTCATAATCGTTTTAGTGGCAGTAGACGTCAGGCCTCCTGTGGTGTAGAGGTGAACACGCTTGTCTATCAGTCGCACGTCGCGGGTTCGATTCCCATCAGTGCGCTTTCGTTTTTTTTTCTGTTTTTATGCGGCGACATTTTAGAATGGCCGAACAACTAGAAAAAGTAGGGAATAATTGCCAAGCAGTGAAGAAATCTAGTTTACATTGAAAAAAATAAATGCTCGTCAAGTAGCGCGCATTGGTCGCAATCGCACAATTTTCCGTCAGAATACATACTCTCGCTCCAAGAAAACTCCGTAGACTTTTGTGTCTGGCCTCCTTTAAAGGAGGCGAGACAGCAAAAATTTCGGGGGACAGTTTGGGGGACGAAATTGCACCGCGCTTATGTAGTCAGTCCATAGGTCGGCAGCCGCGTTTGCGCCCCCGTAGCTTAGCCGGTAGCGGCGCTGTACCCCTTAGCTGCCTGTCACGAGTTCAACTCCTCATGGGGATTCTCTAGGCAAAATATCAGAAAAACTTTTTTTTTATGCCTGGCCTCTTTCAACAAAATTAAAAAGAGAGAAATACTTTCATCCAAAAATGATGTTTTCAACATAACGTTAAACTTATGAAAAGTCAATTGCCGTTTACCCGCATGATAGGAAAATATAAAAAAAATTGAAAATACAATGCATCTTTGATTCTTAGTAATGGTCATTCATCGGGGCAATCAATTTTTTTTTGCGTAAAATTTGCAAAAAAGGCGCACCTCTTTCGTGACATAAATTTTTAAAACAACCAGAAAAAAAAGAAAACCAAATTGTTTCAAACCACTACAAGATGGACTTTGCCAAATAAGGACAAAAGTAGAACTAAATTATTGGGTGGGATCACTACAGGGTTGAATCCACAAAAAAACCAATTTTGTAAAGAGCACATCCACTCGCAATTTTTCAGGATCAACCAAGTGCAATTTTTGAGCAGTGCTCCCGTTCTGAGCCTCCTATCCACTTCCTAAATTCATTTTGTTGAGATGTGGGGTTTATTACCCTAAGCGGGTTGGAAACGGAGAAAAAAAGTAAATGGGATGGAATGGAATAAAAAACGGAGAAAGGCAAAGAAAGAAAATAGTGCAGAAAAGATGCATGTGGAGTAGGATGATGAGGGGTCCGGAACGCAACCCGTAGAAAATGAGAGAAGGAAACAATTCATGAATATGATGCGTTTCTTCCTCTTCTCAATTGTTTGTTTTCTTTGGCTAGAAATACGAAGCACTGATTCAGACCAAATTGAAAAGTTGTTTCTTTTGTTATGAAAAAAAAGAATGGTTCAAGGTTTTTGACTCATCTAACAGAAGTAGAAACATTGACTAAAAAATTGAGGAAAATCGTTCTGAAGCTTTTTTTCCGAATTTTCATGATGAAAAAATACAATAAACACATTTATCAGACACAATTATTTCAGGCAAGAACATGTGCAACCAATTACGAGTCGTTGTTGGTTTTTTAGAATGCATCTGAATACGCAACATAAATAAATTGACGACTCTAAAAATTAATGCTTTTCCCAAAAAGCAGAAGAGTCACCATAATAGTTTTCTATAGAAAAAAAACCTAAAGACACCGTAGACACTGAAATCGTCCGTCTCAGTAATCGGGATTGACGGAAAGTGTATTTCTCGAACGGAACATACAGATCAAATCCAAGATAACCTCGGTTGTCTTCACCTCACACGTCATCAAGAATAATGGAACATATCACAAAGGTAAATATCTGAAGGACACTTTTTTTGTGTTTTCTGCATCCTCTCACTGATGTTTCATGCGGATATAAAAGAACTGAAATTAATTTTCTTCCTTAAGTATCAATCCGATAAGAATGCAGTTCGCACAAATTTAGAGAATACTTGAACTTTAAAATTTTCCAAAATTGTTTATTGAAATATTTTTTAAAGTAACTCTGTTCTTTGCAAGTTTTGAAGAAAGTTAGTTCATTTTTCATTGACTTCAAAAATAAAAAAGCTTGAGAAAAATACTGAAAATGCGGGTCGAAATGTGCTGGTCCAATGCAAAAATTAATCAGAAAATGAAGAGATGGAATCGAAAATAAAACATTTGAAATTTCAGACTTGCCCATTCAAACTATCTGAAAAAAATATGAAATTGTTTTGTAACATAAATATTTAAAATTCAGTTGCGTCAGATTATCTTTCCCCACTTTCAACCAATTCTAAATAAGGCGGACAACTGCTCTTAGCCCTTCTTCCGTTTTTTTCGTTTTATATATCCTTCTCATTCTCTAATTGATTGGGGCCGTCGCATCACGCAGAAATAAAATAAGGATGCATGACAAAAGGGCGACGCGAGTTTTTTTTTCATTAGTAAAAAGGGTTCGATTTTTGTTCTTCTCGACTAACTTAATTTCAGATGGCACTGGAGATTGAAACATCTTTAAGTTAATTTGGGAACGTTGGGAGGTAATTTGAAAAATGGACCGATTCTTTCGAAAGAATGGACCGAGAAAAGAGTCAGAAAATGTACATTTTTAGGGAGTAAAGCAGGAAAATTAAACCAAAGCAAGATATGACCATGAGAGGTTTAGTTTCACAAACTTTGGTGCTTCACTATACAAAAAAAAGCCATAAATCAAATGAGAAGAAACGTCAATTCAATGTCTGGCTCTCAACACGTCCCCTCGTTCTCATTTGCAGTCTATTGAGACTAGCTACTCTTAAAGTTCATATATTATGAATTTATAAATAACTCGAGAACACTTGTTTCACAGTTGAGAAGACCAGAATCGTTGATTTGGAAGTAAGAGAACAAATTTTCTGATTAAAAACACTGAAAATGCTCAGAAACCTTTTCTTCAAACTGTGCAACTGCTGTTCTATTGGATTATGAACTTTTGGACTGGGAACTTTTATCAAAAAACATTATGGTAGAGAGAACTGTATAAAATAAAGTATGCAGGGCAATGTTTCCGGAATGACATAAAATAGAGGGGTTCAGAACGTGTTCTTTTCGATTTTTTTTGAAAGTTTGTAATTCCCAAATAATTTTTTTTGGAGCACTGTTAAGAATTGAAAGTATATTTAATTCTCTTGAAACCACATTTTCTCACATCCTGGTGTTTGAATAGCAAAAAATAATCTAAAACTAGATCTTCCTTTTCCGGATGAACGATGTCCAGGACAATACGTCATTTCACAAGCAACCAAGAATTGCACAATCTAATTTTCTTGTCGTCGTATAGTCAGTTTTACTAGAACACTTAATTCCTTGAATGAAAATTTTCAACTTTTATTTGAAGGGAGCAAATCTTACCGTAAAAACTGGGGCCCTTAGAAAAGCCCCTTTTATAGAATAGGTTCTTGTAATAGACGGGCACTCACAGTATCTGTTGTTTGAAATAAAACGTTTCTACATGTCTTCAGTGAAAAATATTCCGGAAATTTACAATTTCGCAGAAATTTGTCGAAAAACTTTTTTTTTTGCTCAAAAACTAAATCTGAATGAGTTTAGAACGAAAATTCGTCTTAGTTTTCATTTAAAAAATTTCGGACGAAATGGTCGGAAAAATAGAGAAACTCCCTCTAATTGAAAAGCATTGTGATAGAAGGGCCTTCCGGAGGTACCTTGGAATAATAGTAGAGCCTTTTTGATAAGGTTTTACGGTAAGTGGGGTTTTCAAGACGTCGCCAATGTGGACACTTTATCCGAAACATCGAAATGAAGTATACTTCTTTTTCTACACTTCTGATTTTCAACGAAATCTATATCCAATTCTGTATTTTCTTAAAAAGTCAAAATAAGACTATTCTCTCAATGGAGTCTGTACTTTTCAGTTACCGTAATTCCTCTTATAGAAGCCCACCGAAGCCGTCAACTTTGAGCTCAATTATCGCGGCAAACTTTTGACATCTTTCACAGAAATCAGGATATTTGAGCTCAAATGACGAATCGGGTGGCCTTTTTAGTCAGGATAATTGAGCTCGTTTGACGAATTGGGCGGGCTTTTTAGTTTTCGAACAGCTACGGTATTAACATTTTATATCTTACACCTTTGCTGAACCAATGTGTTCTCTATTCCAGCCATAGAGAAATCTGTTGAAAAGGAACAGATACAACCTTTTCCGAAAGAGTATGTTTCGAAACAAGTACGACAGGACATTGATAGGGACTGTTGAGCCCGCGCGAGACGCAGACGAACGGTCAGTTGAACGGGAAGCAGCCTTCTCACATGGCAGCTTTTTTCCCCGGCATGCACTGTCTCCATCTTCCTATTGCATATTGATTTTCAAGACATAACATTAGTCATCTTTTCGAAAACATCTTGCCTTCATTAGAATGATTGTTTCGCTGTTGGTGTGAGCAATATGCGCGTTTCACCAAACAAGTTGAGGGCCACAATTCATTTCCTTCATTTTTGCCCTTTTCTCTTAACCTGCCCAAATTTTGTTTTGGTTTTAGCTGCAGTTTTTCAATGAATGGGTCTGCAATTTCATAAGATTCCAACCCTCTTTGTTATCAAAAATCAACTTCAGTCAATTTCTAGATTCTGCTTCTTTTTTTTATGGTTCAGTATCTAATTTACAACTATAGTACCGGTCATTAAGATATGAAAATACACATTCTCAGGTTGATTTTCGGCCATTTTCGGAAATCTGGGGATCGGCTGTCAAGTTTCTGATCATTTTGATAATTTTGGAGGATGTAAAACACACCTAGATAGATACTTTGTATTCACAACATTTTTTGAAAGGTACCTTTTTTTACGTTCTTAGTACAAAAACGGTTTTGAAAGGAGTGTCTTCCAGAAATCTGAAAATATCTGAAAAACTAAGAATTTTCAAAACAAAATCTGTGAATGCAAAATTCTTAATATTGGTCTGTTTTACAAACTCCAAGATTTTCAAAGTGATAGGAAACCTGATAGTTGATTTCCAGTCTCCTGAAAATAGCACAAAATCAAGTGAAATTTAATTTATTTACCAGTACTGCATTCACCGCATTTTCTCAAATAGATATCAATTGGACCCCTCAACTTCAAGCATTATTTATTTATGTAAAAGAGTTTTAAAATTTTTCAAATTATAAAGTATTTATCATAATATCAGGAAAATTTTATCAGTTGACAAAATTTTGATATCTTTCTCAGGAATCGAAATAATTGTGATCAAAGTTGACTGTTTCGGTGCACTTTTATTAGAGGAAACGCGGTAACAAGCCAGCAATAGTTAAGTACACTTTTAATTTTATCAAAATCATTCTGGGTAGTTAACTAGAACCCCATATCTGACAAAATAATTTAAACTCTGTTGCAAACGTTACGTTGCGTTTGTTGTTTATTCTCGTTTTTGCGAATATTACTTATCAAATATTGAGAGCATCCTACATATGTTACCTAGGCAACTCTTCCCGAATTTTCATTCTCTCCTTTTTTTCATTATTCATCTCACTGCATATAGCAATGGAAAGCCCTTTATTTTCAGATTGGGTCATGTCGAAATCGAAGAAGAACCATAAGGTGACCAGTTCTGTAAACTAGAAATTTCTGACGACATAGAATTCATTCTTTTGAAATCGTTCCAACAAAATTTCATTTATTGCAGATCGACGATCAAGAAAAGTGGGAAAACCACTTGGTACTCCGTGTACCAGACCGCTTCGTGGACCGGATCGAGAAGATTGTCAACGAGGAGCCAGGAGCAGAGAAGTTAGCGATCGACGTCAATGACGACAACCGAGCAGTCCAACTTCAATTGGGAAAGGAGATATTGAAGGCTACCATTATGGATTTGCCAACTATCACTGAGGTGAAAGATCTTAAACTTTTATGAAAATTAGAGCATTTGAAAAACAAAATTTATGAGATGAACTTTTTGATTTTGCTCATTCTGACTAAGCCACAACATGGATAATCTAGTTCCTGTATTTTTAAATTACCTGATTATCTTTCTCAAAATTTTTACAAATTTTCAAACCAGTGTGAACTTCAGGTCCACAAAACTATCGACAACAAGATCATCCACAAGGTGACCGATGTCTCTCAGATGGTCGTGGCAAATGAGCTTGTTCCAGCTTCAAAGAGCAAGAAAAATAGAAAGAAGAAGAAGGAGCAAACCAAAAAAGGAGAGGTGGATAACGTCTCTCCAGTCGAGAACGAGCCGGAATCATCTGCACCAGTACCATCAGCTGCCCCAAAACTATCGGCCAAGAAAGTGAGTTCTTTTTTTTTGCTTTTTTTCAATACAAATTTCATACACAGATGTTCCAATTTCCCCACGGATTGACCCCACCGATGAGAAACTGCCGCAGCCGCAGATTCAGAAAACAGAAAGCCAAGAAAACCATGGATACCGATGAGGTAATTTTATTGAAAAGTTAGATGTGTCTAAAATTTAGAATATTTCGGATTGAAACGGAGCTCAAGAGACTTCTTCGCGCCGACCTGGAAGCTGATTCGATTCGATGGGAAATAGTTCAAGATGATGGAGAAGTAAGCTCACATGTGATTGACGTGACCAGAGCTAATTATTTTTCTAACAGGAAAATCCCAATGAGGACGACGCGGAGGCTTCTCCAAATAAGGACTACAAAGAGGGTGACAGCGACCAAAACTCCGATTAGGCGCCAATAGGCCTAGGGAGGTATTTTTGACTTTTTGTGACACCGATTTCTTTTATAATCGAACAGATTTTACTGTTTTTTCCACTTAAATAATGTGTCTTCTAAGTTCGATGAAATACTTTTTTTACGATAATAAACAACATTTTTTCATTGTAAGGGATGATATCAAGAAATAAGTAAAGATGGCAACGTGAAGGACAAAAAATTTAAAAAGTAGGAAATATCAGAAGTTAAGAAAATGGAAAATGAGACATACATAGATGAAAATGGGCAACAAAGGATATAGGCAAAAAAAACAAGTGACTCAAATATTAGATTATTATCATGACAAGATGTTGCTGGAATTTTTACGGGCTTTTGATTCGGCTGATTTCTTTTTGGTTTTCTTTGGGGAGGAAATTGGCTTCTCAGGCTGAAAATTATTGGATTTTTGATACGAATCTTCATGAATAAATCACCTTTTTGTATACTTGCACCTCAATCTCATCTTCTCTATCAGAATCCCGAGATTGCCGGCTGGATCTTGACAAACTTCGACGAACACGTTCTACCAATCGGGATCCCATGTTTTTGAATGGGTTTCGACCACCTGAAGTTTTAAAATGAATACTACAAAGTGCTAGAAATTCTAACCTCTAGGCAGTGTAGCATAATTACTGCTCACTCCTTCTTCGACTTGTCCCAAGCTATGCATCAATGCTGAATTGGCAGCTTCCTCCTGAAAATAAGAATTACAGAAATTGGTTCAACATTTCAGGTATAACTCACGAATTTGCTTTGCTTTCCGTTCTGCGTAGTCTCTACTGATCTTGACTTTCGGATACCGAAAAATCCTCGTTTGTCTGTTCTTGGCTCATCAATCGCTTCGAAAGCCTTCGCCATCAGTTTAACAGAAGGTTGTCCACCGCGAGCCAATTCTTCTCGTCGGACACGATACAAAATGTTAGCTCCAGTGCTGTTGGGCCGGGACCCTCTTCCGTCTTCGGTGGTATCATCTTCACTGTATTGGCTACGATTGTCAAATGAAGCAGCGCGACCCATTGAATATTCTTCGTTAGATGTCTTTCTACCCGGTACATCTAAAAGATTTTAAATTTTGAAAAATAGTAAGTAGATGAGACTTACTGAGATTATTGCTAGAGGAAGGTTCGTGATAGAGGCCACGTCTTGAGGGACGTCCGTATTTGTCAAAACCGCTTGAGCTCTCAGTGCTAAATTCAGTTTTTTAAATGAAGTTCTACAGTTATAAAAATGTGTCTGACACAGTATCGGTCAATAAAATATATAAATACGTGTTTTTCTGTTAATTTTGAGCTATTTTCGGGGTCTAGAGCTTGACTCCAAAACTTCCAACACTTTAAAACTCTTGTAAGGTAAACACACATATTAGAAAATTTTATTCCCAGGATTTCTCGAAAATTCCTATTTTTCAGCTATTTGTCGATTTCAAAAAGACACCTGTTTTATCACGTTTCCAGAACAAAAACGTGCCGAAAAAAGATGTATTTCAAAAATCGATAAATAATTGAAAGACAATAAATTTTCAAAAAAGTTTGCATATGCAAAGTTTTCAATCTGGGTATGTTTTATATCGTCCAAAAATTCAAAAGTGATCGAAACTGAATAGTCCAGCTTCAGACTCCTGGAAATAGTCAAAAATGGTCAAGAATGAACAGAAAAATACGTTTTTGTGAACCGTAAAACCTGCAATAAAAGAGCCCCCTAACTTTCAAGTTTGAGCCAATTTATCTCGGTCCCTGTTCAAGGAATGTAAAAGTTGTCAACTGATAATTTATTTATCATAATATTACCAACATTTGATCTGTTGAGACTTTTTTGATATCTTCTATAGAAGCCGAGATAATTGAGATCAGACTTAACTGTGTGGGGGTTTCACGGAATTTTAATGAACGGTATTGTATAATCATGATTATCATTTTGAGTCATATTCAAATTTCAAAAAATTACTGAAAACGTTCTCGTTCGATTTTCTGATTTTGAACCAAAATCTGTAACCAATTATCCTCAAGAACCCTTTTAGAGAAAGTTAATATGAAAGTAAAACCCAACTGAAAATTGCTCACGAAAGGCACAAAAACAAAAAAAATAAGAAAAATAAGAACCCCAAATATTACCTGAATGATCGTTTGGCTGTGTAGTTGCTGATGACGTTCAACTTTTCCGGTTTACTATAATACGGTTCTGTCTCACTAATTGTGGTAGAAACAGAGGCGGTGGTAGTTGGAATAGGAAGGTTAGCATGTCTGGAAATGATAGTGAAAAGAAAATGAGAAGTGCATGCAAAAGAAAAGTCGGTTGAGTGAAACTGAATCTAGGAGAGAAAAATGTAATAGGCAAATGGCAACTGAGAAATCAGAAAGAAAGTGCAAAGATGTAAACATCAACGTGAAGACAAATAGAAGTAAGAAGTTGAAAATATAACATCTTTTTTGTTTTGCTGGTGCTCAGATGGTGCCCACTTACCTATAAGCATGTCTTAATGGAGCACTATTAACCGATCTAATAGAAAATGATGATTGACTAATGTTATCATATGTGCCTTCTCCACACTCTGAGATCGACGGGGCGTACCCATTTGAAGCCTTTTCACCGAGCACAGAACCTGCTCTTTCATCTCTGAAATTGAATATTCGAGATTGTTTTTACAGTTTGATGATCCCTACGGATTCAAATTGTTGGCTGCTTCGTCGTCTCTCAATACTGTCAGCTGATTGATGATATACCGTATTCCATCCGGCTCATTTTCACGAGATGTCTTTCGAGTGGCTTCGCTTACGTAGGCGAGCTGATCGATAATACTGCTCAGCCGATATTTTCTAGTTAGCTTTTGAAGCTCATTCAGGTGCACAATTTGTTGGAGGCGTTCTCGTTCAGATTCAATCATTTCCTGGAAATTGACAGTATTGTGCTATGGAATTTTCACTATCTTCACCGGTCAGTAAGAGACAAAAACGTGTTTTCAGTTGGTTTTGACTATTTTCAAGACTCAGGACCTGGGTTGTCAAGCTTGCGATCACTTCGAAAATTTTGGAATGTCCAAAGCAGATCTGGATGAAAACCTTTGCAGTTACAAAATTTTTTGAAAATTCCTAGTTTTCCAGTTCATTTCCGATTTCTGAATGGCACCTTTTTCATGTTTTTGGTACGAAAACGGGTGAATGAGAGGTGTTCTTCAAATTTTATTATAAATTACTAGTTTTCTGCTATCGGAAGGCAGCAGAAAACTAGTAATTTTCAATAAATTATGTGAATGCAAAGTTTTCAATCTAGGTCTGTTTTATACTCTCCAAAATTTTAAAAGTGTTCGGAAACTTATAGTCAAAATATTACAAAATAATTAGAAAAACACGTTTCGGTGTATCTTATTGACTGATACTGTATATCACTCACCTTCACCACTTGCTGGCTATCTTTATTCTGAGACAAATTCTTCTGCTCAATCTCCAGCACCCGAATCTGCTCTCCAAGAACCCTTATAGTCTTCTGAGCCTCATTCTTCTGTCTATTCTTTTCAGCAGTAATCTCTGTGATCTTGTCATTCAACCGATCCATTTCTTTTGAATAGAATGCTTCACAATCACGATATTGCTTTCGAATAGTTTCAACCGAATCCGTATTGTCGATTTTCTCATTACGGTTCCTAGCTCTATCAATGTTCCATAAAATTTGATCGGCTTTTCGAGCCTCTTTGGTTAGCCGTAAATCAGTATTCAAGCGTTCTAGCTCTTCTTCTTTAGTTGCTAGCCGGTTTTGCTGAAATTTTTATAGATCTTGTATCATTCTACTTTATTTTGAAGGCATACAATTAATCACAACATCCACAAAAATTACCTTTTATGCTACATGTAAAACGATGGTTAGTGAGATGAGGTGATGAGGGTACCCGTGTGTAAAAGATATTAGCACAATACATCTTTCAAGGCTCACTGGTGAAGGTGTGTGTTAATGTCAAACATGATAAATGTGAGTTTTCTGTTGGAAAAGAGCAAATGTTAGTAAGGGAAAAACACTTAAAACGTTTCAAAAACTCACAAGCTCCTTCACCTTCTCTGTTGATTCGCTTGCAGTTTTCTCTTTAACCTTCAAGCTATTTCTTTCATCAGCAACCTGCTTTTCAAAGTTGGCAAGAGCATCCTTGTTGGTGTCGCGTTCACGACGAGCCAGAACCAACTGAAATAATTTGTTTTCACTTTCAAAACCTTTGCAATATTTGTAATTACCTGAGAGTGAAGAGCTTTGTTGGTATCTTCCATAATTCTCATACGACTGCTGAATTTCTGCTGCATGGCATCTATCTCAACAGTTCTCAGCTTTTCACTTTTTCGGGTCTTGTGTTGGAATGCTTCTTTATCCTTGTCCCAGCCAGTTTGAACTTTTGAAAGTTGGTCCTTAAGCTCTGCATTCTGAATTTTGCAGTCCTCTAAAGAAGAATCAGCATCTGCGATTCGTTTCTCCAGAATTGAAATTTGTTTCTTGAGCTCCAAAACCAACATCTTCTCACTATCCTGACGGCGGAGAGGAGACGGCTCTCCAGAGAACGAGTTTTGTGAAATTGCTGAAAACAAGGATATATTCAGGAGTTTGGAGCTTGGCTGTCTAGATTTTTATCAGTTTGAACAGATTTGGAAAGTGTAAAAAATTCACAGAATTTAAAAAAGTATTCCTAGTTTTTCAGCTACTTGCCGATTTCTAAGGACACCTGGTTTTTTCACGAAAATTGTCAAAATCGATAAAACATTTGGTTTTTTTATCTCATTGAACGATACTGTATATATTTAGAACAAATACAAAGCAGTTTAGTGATACAAAATCCACAATTGGTGGTACAAAAGTCAAAATTTTCACGTATTTTGTACCCCGAATTAAGGATTTTGTATTCCTGAATCGCTTTGTACCACAATGACCCCATAGTTTCTGTACCCTTCAAATTATGTGTCAAATGAAATTTTTCCTTACATGACTCTTTCATTTCGTGCTCATCTGGCAATTGTTTTTTCAGCAACGCAATATCTTTTTCAAGCTTTGATTTTTCATTCTTCCAGGAGACTTCACTCTTCTTCTGGTCTTCTGTGAGTTTCTCTAAAATTATAAAACTATTCTTAGTTCCGAGTTATGAAGCGTACTCAAATGCTCTTCAACGTCGTCTTTCATTTTCTTCATTGCAGCCAATTCATTCTTTGATCTGTTTCTCTCTCCGTTCATCTTCTCACGCTCGGCCTCGAAGATGCTTTCCAGCTTTTTGTACTTGATTTCAAACTCTTTAACAGTCTTCTTATCAGTTTCCATATCCTGAAAAAATTTTCTAGGGGTCATTGGTTTAACTTTGGGGGTCATACCTGCATATCCTTTCTCAAAAGCTCAGCCTCAGCTCTCAACTTCTTGTTCCGCTCTTCTTGCTCTTCTAACGACCGTGTCTTCTCAATAAGAGTAGTAGATTTAGACTCTAACAGCTCTGAGAGCTCATCATTTTGTCTCTTGGCGTCTGCGATTCGGATACCAAGAGTCTTGATCTCCTTCTCAAATATTTGTCGTTGTTTTTCAATTTCAATTGTCCAACGATCCTCGGTTTGTAGCACTTGATTCGTCAAATCCTTGTTTTTCTTCTTGTAAAATGAGATCTCATTTGTCTGCTCCTCAATGGTGGCTTGCAGTTGATCACACTTGGCACATTTCGCATCGAGAATGTTTTCCTTACTGGGCACTCTTTTCACAGACAACCCAGTGTTAGGGGTAACACTCTTAATATTGTCAAGCTTCTGATGAACATTCTTCATTTCCTGCATCACATTGGCGAGTTCCACAATAATTGCAGCTCCACTGTCTTTGGAAAGAGAACGGCGTCGTTCATCCTAAAAAAAATTTGTTGAAAATTTGAGCAAAAGAATAGTGAAACGAAAACCAAGATAAAAAGAACGAAAACGAAATTTACATATTAGTAATCAGACAGTAATCAGAGTTAATGCAATCGTTAGTTCATCAAACAATTATAACAACACTTCTTCATTAACCTTCTGAGCATGATCAATTTTTTCAAACTGCTTGCACAACCGTCCCGTCTGCGTCTCAACTGCTGCCAACACTTCACAACACTGCTCAATCTCATCAATGGTTGGAATTTTTCCTTGCAACTCGCTAACCGAGTCCGTCGCCAGTTTCTCACTTAATTGCTTCTCGAGATCTTCAATTCTTCGTTTTAGCTCGTCCGCATACGACATCTCCCCGTCTTTGATTTGTTTTTTGTGAAGTGTGTTACCTCTCTCGTTCACCATTTGCAGCTGGCCGTTCAGCTGCTCAATCTGAAACAAGATTATCGTAAAATTTGTGATAGCAGGGCTCCGACACTATCAAGTTTGAGTTCAATTAACACGACTGCTATAAGAAATCACAAATGCGTCAACTCATAAAATTATTGTGATATACAATTTATCCATTGACAATTTTCTCATATAATTTGCAGGAAACTAGTTGAATTGGCTCAAAGTTGACAGTTAGGGGACACTTCTGATGCAAAGCTAAAAGTTAGAGGCCTTCTAAGATAGGTTTTACGGTATGTGGAAATAATGAAAAAATTACCTTGGTGGCAAGGGAGATAACTTTCTGATTATCAGATTTGAATACTGTAGTCTTTAACTCGTTTACTTGTGCTTCCAGTGCTTTCCGCTTCTCTTGCTCTTTTCTCAACTCGGTCGTCGTGGTCCCAGATGGAACTGAAAATGAAATTTTTTAAATATACATTATAGGTCAAGAAGAAAAACATAGTTTTCAGTTCATTTTCGGCTATTTTGACCATACTTGTAATCCGGTCCTTTGCCCTGCCATAATTTATTTCAGAATCAATATTTTTGAACCAACTAAATCAGATGTGATAGAGCTCCACGAGTACTACAAAACGGTATTTTTTGGAATACTGTATCTTATTCATGAAAAAAGTTACAGATCATAAAGTGACTTTTCTGGCAGAGACCGGCAGACCCGGGACGGGCCTGCTTTTTTCTATTCCTTTTGCTCTGTAACTCTGTTCATAGACAAGATACAGTATTTCAAACAATACAGTTTTGTAGTAGTCGTGGAGCTCTATCACATCTGATTTAGTTGGTTTGAAAATATAGATTCTGAAATAAATTATGGCAGGGCCCGCGAAGGCCCGGATTACAAGTATGATTTTTACCATTTTCAGGAGTCTAGAGCTGGGCTGTCAAGATTCCGATCACGTTGAAAATTCGGGTGGCGTGAAACAAACCTAGATTGAATGATTCGCATTCACAAAATGTTTTGAAAATGCCTAGTTTTCAGCTATTTACCTCTGAAAGACATTTGATTTCTGAAAGAAATTTGTCATTCAGAAATCGGCAAGTAATTGAAAAACTAAGAACTTTCGAAAAGTTCTGTGAAAGCTAAGTTTTTAGTCTAGCTCTGTTTTACATCCTGCATAGTTTTCAGAGTGAAAGGAAACTTGCCAGCCGAGCTCTAGGTCCCTGAAAAGTATGGTTGTCAACTGTCAACTGCATGTCAACTGAAAATTACGTCTTTCAAATATCCTACCGACCGGTACAGTACGATATGTTTTAGACCTACCAACAAAATTTGGTTTCGGTGCAGATTTGGTTTCCAACTGTTTCACTTGAGTGGTGAGTTCGAGATTCTTGCGCTCAAGCTCGCTGATAGTTCCAATCATTTTGGACATGTCCTTTTCCATTTCTTGCGTCAATTTGAAACCACCGTTCTTGGAATGGGTTGATGTCGGACCGCCACGCTTGCAATCGGCCTCCAACTCGACGATTCTGAGTAAAAAAAAAGATGAAAAATCGAGTTAAGAAAAGTAAATAAACAAACTTCTTGTTCAAGTGATCGTTGGTCTTTTCCAACCTTTCGATTTTGGTATTCAAATGTTGCACCTGACTCTCGGCCAACTCCAATTGCAAATGGGCATTTCCGTCGCTAGAATTATACGATATGCATACCAAAAAAAGTCACAACCAATACAGCCTCCCAAAAACAAGGATCAGCACACGGAACATATATTGAAAAACACCCGAACTTAGAAATGTAGTGTCTAGACAATCGTCCAGAGGATTGACAGAAAATTATGAACCAAAAAAAATGGGAAAAAGAAATTATAACCCCGATAGAAATAGGTATTTTCTGAAATTTTCGGATGACGAAAAGCAGACACACAGAAGCAGAAGCAAGGAAAAAAATACGGAACACACAAACAAACCAGAGTCATCCAGAAAAGTATTTAACACTGATACTAACCCTCTGAAATGTGTTATTATGTGTAAGACAACTGTATAGAACTGCATATCTCTGTATCTCTTCTAATCACTATCTATGTGCGTTGTTTTCAAAGTCTCGGGACTTTCTCTGAACATTGAAAAACAAGACAAAAGACTAGATACGCACTTGACAAGTACACGCGGTGACCAACCTAGCCGATCGAATCATCGGTGGACGCAGCTTACTGGCCTTTGACAATTTCTTCAACAACTCCTCGTTCTCGTTTTCGATGTCCTAAATATATTTTTTATATTGAAAGAGTGCTTTTTGAATTCAAATTACCTGGAGACGAATTTGAGTTCTCTTCAAATCCTCCTCCGAGAATCTCATTTGTTCTCGAAGGTCAATTTCCCTCTCAAGAGCATCTCGCAGCTCCTTGGACATCTCGTTCTCCGGAATGTTTGGAACACTTGCAGCGATTTCAGCAGACAGTCGTTTCTAAATTAATACTTATAGCATAACTTATAACGGGTCGGGTTTTTTTACAATTGAGAAAATTTCTGAAATTACAGAGAAAATTCTGAATATGTAGTTAAAGTAATAGTTCCCTTTTTTGCAAAACTTTTCTTTGTCAGAATCATTCAAAAAAAAGCCCCGTCCGGCTCGTTGCAAGTACAGCACCAGTAATAAGATATAAACACGTTTGTTTCGAGAGTTTGAATCTTGACTGTCGAAAATCGGAAATTCTGGAGGGAAACAGATCTATAATAGATTGAAACCTTGCGTTCACAGAATTTTTCGAAAAGTCCTAGTATTTCAGCTATTTGCGGAGTTCTGAAAGGCACGTGTTTTTTACATTTTCAGTACGAAAACCGGAATTAAAGAGAAAAATACACCTTTTTCGGATCGGAAACGTGACAGCCGAATTCCAGACCTCTAAAAAAGGTCAAGATGCCCAAAAAGCAATTGAGAAATTCTGTTTTTGTATATACTGTATAAACAAATTTGATATTTCAGAAATTTAGAATCTCTGGAAAACAGTCTTAGTTCTACTCACCACAGCGATATCAGTCTTATTTCTAGCCTCCCTCCACTTATTCTGCGTTTGAATCTCTCGAACTTTCTCTTTCAAATAGAACACCTCATCCTCCAACTTGCATCTTTTCTCCTCGGTCTGCTCGAGCTCATTGTGCAATCTAACCGAGACCTCCTTAGCTACACGGATTTCATATTCCAAATCCTTCACTTTTGCACTATCGGATTTGATTGAAGCAGCAACGGCTTCTGGGCAACTGTTCATGTATTCATCCAACTTTTTCTCAGAATGCATTTTCTCCGCCTCAGCCTGTTCTCTACACCGCTCGGTTTTTCGAAGTTTGAACTGGAGAACTCTGCAGTTCTTGGCGTTGAGCTCAAGCTCTCTCTGTAGTTCCCGGAACTCTTCGATTTCTTCCTCACGGTACTGATCCTGAATAGTAGTAGTGAAAAACTATGGATTTTAGGTTCATAATACCTGCATCTCTTCGATTTCTTGCTGCAAATCTTTGACTTCTGCTTTCAACTGCTCATTCTCTTCCATCAATTCGTCACATAGTCCTTCTGTGGTCTTGATTTTCTCACGCAGTTTTTCATCTGATGTTGCAAATGTTGTTTCCTAAAAATAGTTCTTTGCAAAAACTCAAAATTGACGAAGATTTAGATTTACATAATTTCAAAAATGCAAAGTTCATTTTTTTCTAATGTTTACCTGCAACTCTCTAAGTTCACATTTTAGGACTGTGTTCTCGTCCCGATAGTCCTGAATCTGATTTTCAGCCTGATTTAGTCTCTCCTCAAGCATATTGATCAAAGATGACTCGCTTTGTTCAGCGTTCTGAAGACGTTGTCGCAGTGCCCACTGAGCTTTTTCTTCCTGAATAGAGAGCAATAATTAAATTTTGTCCCCTTTCAAAAGAGCACTAGCATCATAAAAAGAAGATAGGATGAAAACAAAAAAAAAAGAAGAAGTAAAAGCGCTTACCTTCAAACTGTGATTGATATCGCGCAGCTGAGATATTTCTTCTTTTAGCGTTTGGATGTACTCTGTCTGAAAAAAAGAACTAATGATTTGATTATTGAGTTTGATAGGATAGTAAACGTACAATAAACAATCTAATAGAGTACAATGCTATACTTGAACTTTGAGCTCAATTATCTCCATTTTTATGAGAGATATCAAAAATGTGTCAACAGATTAAATGTTCGTGATTTTGTGGAAAAAATTTTTCAATTGACGTATTTTTGTTATCGTTTATAGAAATTGAGATGATTGAGCTGGTATTAAAAGTATACGATGTCTATTAGAGAGTGTTTAGGGTATATAGAGCAAAAAGAACACTGAATACTCTCAAACTCATCAAACTCAATAGCCATAGAGTAATAAATGTGTACAACTATAAACGGCTTGTTGAAATCGAAACGACTGGGGCGGGGGGATCGTTTTCGTAATTTCCCGCTTTTACTTTTCTCCTGCTTTATGCACTTACCTCGTTTTCTGTCGGTGTAATGGCCCGTTCTTCTTCACAAATGCTACCGCTAAACGCCGTCACCATGCTTTTTGTGTCATTCACGCTTTCACATGATTTTGTGGATGACATGCCTTTAGAAGTTGCGGAAAGGTATGAAGAGACCGACAACGCCTCAGTGTCATCTGGAATTGACATGTTTAGAAAATATACAGTATCGTAGGATAATAAGGGAAATTCTTCAACTTTGTCATTTTGATATATTCATAACATCGGGATGCTGAAAAACCACTCGACAGCTATATGGTCACCATTCACACTTACTACAGTATCCACCAAAATCACAGGAAATTAATCACAGGTGTAAACATTACAATAGAATGCCACCCAAACATTCATTTTTGAGCTCATATACAGTCAATAAAATATACAAAAACATATTTTTCTGTTGATTTGAACAATTTCAAGGAGTGTAGAGCTCGGCTGTCAAGTTTCCGATCACTTTGAAAATTTTGGAGAATGTAAAAAAGAAATATATTAAAAACTTTGCATTCACAGATTTTTTTGAAATTTACTAGTTTTTTTTAGCTATATACCAATTTCCAAAAGATACCTTTTTTTTTTTCACGTTTCCAGTACAGTAATAGGTAAAATGAAGGTGTTCTTCAGAAATCGAGACAAAGCTGAAAACTGAAAATAAAAACAAATTCTGTGGGTGCAGTTTTTGTTCTAGGTCTGATTTACATCCTCCCAAAAGTTTAAAAGTGTTGAAAACTTGATAGCCGAGCTCCAGACTCCTGAAAATGGTCAGAAATTTTCAAAATCCACTGAAAACCATGATTTTTTCTTATCGACTATGACTGTTTTGGCAGCAACTCATTTTTAATTGGTAATTACCTATTTCAGAAAATATTTCAAATGTTGCCGTAAATACCTTAATAAAACGCCACCCAAACCCTGTCTACTTAGAGCCCTGTGAATCTCATTTCATTTAGAATATATCAAAAAATGATCAACTGACAAAATATTTATCATAATGTCAGCAGAATGTTTTGAGCCGATGTTTGATATCTTTCCCAGAAAATTAGGGCTCAAAGTTGACAATTTGGGCGGCGTTCTGTTAGAGTGCTTACGGTATCTTACCTTTCAATTGTCTTATTTTCACTTTTCTTCCATTTTCTACACCACGAGTTGACCTATCTGTCAGATTCACATTATTATTGTTGGACGTGACAGAATAATACGAGCTTATTGAAACCGCATCCCGATCATCTGGTGGTGAACACGTTATTTGATTACCCATATCTACACACTTTTTGCTTCCTCTCTAGAAACAACAAAGATTCCAATACAAAACGAGGATTCAAAAAGAAAGAAGGTTAGATAAAACTTCAAAAAGGGCTAAAAGTTGTCGGGTGATGACAAGAAAAGGAGGGGTGAATCACAAAACGAAATGATGGGAAACGAAAAGTGAGTGCTAAAGTCACGCCTACGCTTTTAGGCCTAGTTTTATGGCAAGAAAGATCATGGACTCTACAAGTTCTAAACGGTCACATGAGAGGGTAGAACGTATCATAAAATTTGGAATGATTGTATTTTATTTTTGCACAGGAAGCGTTGTACGAAAGTTCGAAGCTCCGACTATAGTAAATTTGCTACTTTAATTTCTGAGGTTTAATGAAATCTCGTGATTTATAGAGAAGGCAATAAGAAAAGGCTACAAATCACTAACGTCATCACAGTGATAAAGTATGGATGACGAACACAGAACGAAATGTACGGGGCATCAAGTATCAGTCTTATTCCGTCATTTTATATGTTCTTGTGCTGAAACTTGGGCCCGAGAAAGGGGAAGAAGATGAAATAATTTAAGGTGATTCGAAAATGAAATTTTGATTTGACCATTGCAAAAAAATAATATATGCACTTTCATAAGTCTGTATTTCACAAAAAAAATTTCATTCTTACCGTAAATCCTGTAATAGAGGGCCCCCACATCGTTGAGTTTGAGCTAATTTATCTCGGTTCCTGTCAAAGGTAGTAAAAAGTTATCAACTGATAAAAAATTTGTGACATTATGATAAACAATTTATCTGTTGACAACTTTTTTATACCTTGGACAGGTACCGAGATAACTCGGGTCAAATTTGGCGGTGTTATAGCCTTTTATTGCACTCACATTTTACGGTGTGCTTAGTGACTAAACAATTTTGATCGAAAAATTTTACGAATCCAACTGAAAACTCATGACTTACAAAAAAAATAAGAGTTGTTGAAACTAAAAATGCTTTCAATAACATCGCAAGCTGCATGTTGAAATTGACAGTTGCCAAGGTGAGACAACAACGATAATTAGCAAAGGGTATAATTTTTTTTGTTCAGGAGAAAATAAAAGTTTGTAGAAAAAAAAAGTTGAATCTCCTGAAACGTTTGTCCATCGTGGGAATCTGACAGATGACGTGTGAGAGGATATGCACTTTGCAGTTTAGGTGATAAAATTCATGTTTTGTTTTACCGGATATGAAAGCATAGTTTTGTTAGTGATCGAAGGGCCAAAAAGTGCAAATCTCATTTTGAAATCTTTTGACGACCTTTTATATTCAACCGAAAAAGTTTCAAATGTGAATAGATTGTCACTTCTGATATATGAGCTTCGGAAAACTTTGAACAACCCAGGAAACTACATTTTTTCTTCTGATTCATATATTTTCCATCTAAATTCTAACGACCCAACCCACCGTCATCAGGTCCTCCATTATCCAAATTACTTGAAGCTTTCCAACTCCTCCTCCGTTCTTTCTTTAGTGCAGACAGTGTAACCGTAGCTTCTTCGACATGTTTATCCTGAAGAACAATATATTAGCTGTCTGATCGGCGAAGACTCGAATTTCAAAAAGTACCTTTGGACGGAAACACTTTTTACAACGCTCCTTGAGATAGTTTTGTGGTTCAAAACCGTTGCAAAGGTCACTCATTGAGCGAAATCTGAAATAAGAATCTGTGGTTTTAACTTTGCTATTAGGAAGTGTCCAATTTCCATATTAGTCAAACTGGAACTCATCTATCAGAAATTTTCCAAAGAATCATCAAAAAAGAATTACCAATTCGAGCTTCTCATGTTGATGAGAATAAGAACAGATCAAGACAAAACGACAAGAATAGAATGAAGGACAAAGAGGAGAATGTGAAGGATTGGGCACATGTTATTGTAAAACGGCGAAAGAGGGAGGAAAGGATGACAAGTGGCAAAGAAGAAGAAGCGTTTTATTATTATTTTCTACCCTCTTTTCATTTTTTTTTGTTCCCGTATATCTGGATGGGGGAGCAAACACTACGCGCGAAGACACCACGTACATCCTTGTTTTCTAAATGACACTTCTTTTCAGACAACGGGCTTAGAAATAAGAGATGCTGAAATTTTGAAGCAGAACGGATTTGAAGAAAGTATGTGGTTGATGATAACATACAAGATAGAAGATCAGAAGGCAAAAAAAAAACCGTCCGTTCCATTTTCAAGTGTTTGTTTGAACTTTTTAGACTTTTTCAAGAGGTCACAAGAGATAAGAAAAAGTTAAAAATGATGGAATTGATGGTATTTTTGAAAATATTAAGCTTAACAGTTTTTGAGATTTATCACGATTCAGAAGAAACTAACATTTATAGCGAAATCAATTTTCGTGAGTTTTTTGAAAATTATTTCTTGACTAGAAAGTTTGGGTACGGTAATCACCGAGAATGCCTGTTCTGAATTAATTTCTGAAAATTGAGGTTATTAAAATTAGTGAAAAATCAAAATTACTCGCGAAACTCGTAAAATCTAAAAAATCAAGGAATATAACCTTCTGAAAAACCAGAAAAATTTAATTTCGAATAACCTCTTCCAGAGCGACACTCTAAACTTTGAATTAGAAATATTCTTTCAGTGATATATAGTTTTTCAATGCAACCAAACTGATAGCACAGTATCATAAATTTTTCCACTAAAAACAGCACAAATAATAATTATGAAAACCATTAATCCTTTTGCTCAGAAATGTACAAGCTCTCAACCAGGCATTGATCTACTAGAACTGCTAGGATAATCACAAATTCTTCATCAATCTTTCCAAGATCAGTAGATCAAAAAGTTTTTGGAATGTCAAAAAGTCAAGTCAAGACAGTAAGTACAAAAAAAACCTCTGTCTCACTCCCCCTGAATCCCAAAAACCGGCTGTCTTAATTTACTCAAATCCACACAAAGGGGTGAGCGCGGAGAAAAATATCTGCTGTCTTGGGGGATGTTGCAAACCAAAAGTCTCTTTCTCTAACACTGTATTTGCTCCGTGAGCAAGAGATCCCACCGTGGACTTACCCCGTGCAGAAAGATGGAGAGAAAAATGGAAAAAGAAACAAGTGTGTGCTCAAATATCAGGGATAAGATTTTAGGGAAAAAAGTTGGTTTAATGATGATTAAGATATCATAAGCGTTATTTCAATTGTTCAAAACATACCTGATGAGTTTCATTTTCGGTGTTAGGAATACAAGTGCTTAAGTTTAGAGAAGTTGAAATGAAAGTCAGCCACGCCAGAAAATCACACGGAGGAGAAAAAGGATTTAGTTTCAATTTCATTCTTCGTCCCTGTTTGTTATTTGGCAGCGTGATTTCCGCATGCATAAAGTTCGGATTTCTTTTTTTTTGCTTTTTTGATACTCATAGGGTGAGCGAGAGAGAGAGGGTTCATTTTTGACAATAAATTTGGCATTAAGCTTTGAAACGTAGAAAAGAAGTTGAAAAAAAATTTTCTGAGAAACTCGAGAAACTACTGTCGGTACTGTATGGGGATATGATTTTTAAAAATTTGTTATACTCAGAGTTCAATATTCAATTAGTCAGTCATTTCAAAAATAACATTTCTTTAAAATTATTTTGATAAAAATAAAAAAAGCGAATGTGCTATAAAAAAAGACATGATATTTCGAATTTTTCAGTGGAAACTTTTAAACTTTGAAATTACAAAGAAATTAGTCGGACAGTTTTTGATTAATCTGGAAATTCCGGAAGACAAAATTGGTTTTCAAAATTTTTTTTGTACAAATCAAACAAATCGAGATGACCAGTTCCACTATTTTTCATTGAAATATCTAATTATGATCTTCTCGTTCGGTATTGTAGTTCTGAAAAATAAGAACACGTCGGTCTCTCCCGGTTATCGCAGAAAACTAAAAATCCTCCAAAGCTATTTTTCAATTTTTGAAAAATTAATGTCTAAACTAAATAATTGAATTTGATTATGATTACTTGAAAACATTTGCTTGGGAATAAACACTTGAAAGATTTGGATACAATTCCTAAATTCAAAAAAGAAACAGTTTTGGCGTCATACTGGGTGCCATGATCAGTTTAAAAGCCGGTGGTAAATGTTGTTGAGAACTTGTTACTCACAAATCGGAACGAGGATCGTGTGCGAGGAGAGCACAGGAAGATAGGATTAACCGATGGAGAATCCAGGAAAGAAACGTGAAAGAGTAAGGCGTGAGTGGAGGAAGAAGAAGTGTAAAGTTTCTCCCGGGCACAGGACATAGGGGATATCGGAGCAGAGACGATGGGAGTAAGGAAGAGTCTGATTCTCGAGACAGATCGCCCGAGACTCTCTGCGTCTCGCTTTCTCTTGCACTCTGTCTTGAACACTTTATCCTGTCGCCGCTCTAATGACTCGTTGTCGAGCTCATCGGGAGGGCTTCAAGGTCAATTGGCACGCGAATCATTTTAAAATCATGTTAAAAGATTTTGCAGATTCTTTCAATAAGATAAATGGGTTTGAACTATTGACTAGACAGCCAGAAACATTCAACAGTTTTCAAGATTGGTTTTTTTTCTCCTGAAAAAAGGAAAATTAACTTTGACGGCTTGCCTATCAAAACCGTTCAAAACCATCAAGTACTACTGAAAAATGTATATTTTACAACCGAAAAAGAAGAAATATGAAGAAGGGGAAAAAGATGATGTTCAACGCTTCAAAAGAAAAGTGCAAATGTAATTCAATCAGACGCCGCCTAGACCTCGAAGCTTTTTGTAACCCATCTCCAAGTTTTCAGTAAAAAAAGTTATTTTGGAGTTTATAGATTTTTGCTCTAGTATTTTTCAAAAAAGAAAAATAAACAAAAGGAAAAGGATCATACCTCAACTGAAAAACATAACCACCAATTTCAAGTCGCCCGATACAAAAATAGGAACAAAAAATTAAAAACAATGCAGAGAACCATAAAAGAAGGAACAGAAGGCGTGAAGGGTGGAATCTCATTCGCATTTTTATCTTCTGTAAAACTGCCAGTCCGCACACACCCCATACCAACTGTTTATTATATTTATCGGAGCACAACGAAGAAACGGCGGCAGAAGGATTGGAAGAAAGAAGCAGAAGGGTGAAAAAAAAAATATCTGTGGTCCTCTTCGAAGACGAAGAAGCAAAACAAAAGAAAGAGGAAGAGTTGTCAACATATGATTTCACACACACAGACGAAATTCGAATGAAATCAAATAAAATAAAAAGTGTTTGTGTATGCGTGTGTGCGGGTCCCTAGCCTTGATACTTCAATGTAGCAGTTTAAAAAAAACACAATAAAAAAAACACTTGAAGCCGTTTTTTAGAATCCTGAGTTTTCTGAGAACTTCTTCGCTGACATAGGCATTTGTTTTCATGAGTTTTTAGAACAAAGAAAAAGTGAAAATTCAAAAGACATTGCATAGTCAGATGCGACTGTCGTCTTTTGGGCAAATTTAGGGCGTCGCCACCTTTTGAGCTAGCTTCGGCGCTTTTTGGACGAAAAAAAGTTTTAGGCGAACCCAAGGCGAAGGTAGAACCTGTTAGGCGAAGCCAGGGCGAAGCCAGCCAGCTTCTGCTCTCTTGCTTTTGCCACCTTTTGAGCGCTGTTTGGGCACCTTCTGGGAAAATCCCTAGCGGAATCTTTCCAACTATCGCCCAAAAGATAACAGTCGCAGGCAGCCGAGTATACACAAAATTCAAGCTTTAAAAAATAATGCTGATTTTTAGAGGGTAACAGAAGTCATTTTATTAATTTTCTTAATTGAAATTTTCTGAATAGAATATTCTATCACTTATTTTACCCACAACAAAAAGAAAGACTTGAAATGTTGCGTGTAAGATGCAAAAAGTAAGATTGAAAAGAGAAGAAAGGATGAGCGAAAATTGTGCACAAAGCGCCACCCACATTTTTTTTGATGAGTAATAAGACGAAAACTAGGTTAATTTGCTGCAGCCGGCTCAGCATCAAAGCACATTCATAAATGTGTATGTGTGTGTGCGTTAGGAGACACTGGAAGAGCATTGTAACACAACTGTCAAGGTGGATATCTTGGGGTAAATTGAAAATAAAGTTTCTCAATGATCTTTATTTTTAGAGAAGATGACAGTTTTTTTAAATGACTCATTGACAGGTAAGACGGAACTTAGGATTATGGGAAGTACTGTAGCCAGTATGATTTCGGAAATTTGTTTTGTCTTATTAAAAAATGAAGTGGTATTTCATAAAATCTAGTGGTATCAGGTTTAGTAAGATATGTATTAAGATATATTTTTAGCCTATAACTAATGAGATTAATGTTTTCAAAAAATTATCTTTCTTCTTGGTTTCGCTCATTTTCTTGTTTAAAGTAGGCGAGACAGCAAAAATTCCGGGGGCAGTTCGGGGGGACGAAATCGCGCCGCGCTTATGTAGGCCATCGGTCGTAGCTCAGTCGGTAGCGGCGCTGTACTCCTGAGCTGACTGTCATGAGTTCAACCCCGCATGGGGGTTCTCTAAGCAAAATATCAGGAAAACTTTTTTTTGATGTATTTCTGGCCTCCTTTAAGAGGATTTTTTTTTGATAACTTTTGATAGAAAATTGTAAGATATTAGTGTCATAGTTGAGCTAAAGAAAACATGCTTACTAAAGACCATAATTGTGGAAAAGATGGCCGGCCCGCGGCCAGCCCG